GAGAGAGAGAGAGAGAGAGAGAGAGAGAGAGAGAGAGAGAGAGAGAGAGAGAGAGCACAGAATATTATATTCAGTGATGCAGTGAATGCTTATCTACAATAAAGTGACTTAAAGACTGAGTGATCTCTTTTGGTCAGTCAGACGGCAAATACGACCACAAAAGCCAAATGATTATAATATTTCTCATAACCAAAACGACTTACAAAGGCTTAAACAGAGGCGCCGGTAGTGGTGGTCGTTATAGACGGCCAATGGGTTACTGTTATCGTGTGTTTGTAAAACATAAATGATATGTCAGTCATGAAAATAAAGTTATATTCTGTTCATTACAACTAAAATATACCGGAATTTAAGCTTAAAATGTCAAAAAGATTTTTAATCAAATTAAATGCTTCTCAAAATAAAAATTTTGTTTTATTAGTTTTTTTGCAAAACTTTTTATTATTTTTGATATATAAATAATAAAACCTAATTCCTTATATTAGCATAATATGCAAATTATTTATAACATGCTCAAAATTGAACTAAATATACTTTATATTGAAGACATGTGTATAGATGTTAGAATATTTTTGCAATAAAACTAATAAAAATAGCGTTTAATGACTTAAATACACGACAAATCAGAGACACTTATCATGTGCTGACAAACATCTGATGGTTTTTTTTGCTATACAAAAAATAAATGAAACACAATTTGTTCACATCATCGATAAAATGCACACTTATTGTTGAGTCCTTCTCTATCTTATCATTGCTATAAAAAATAACCAAAAAATCATTCACTCTTATAAGCCATTCAAACGATGGCTATAAATGTTACGCTAAAATAATCGCAAATTTTGCACATTTTTCCGGATATATATGAATATATTTAACGCATATCTGATAAGAAAACAAATACATAACAATGTTTTTGAAACAATGAAAAATCCGTTTTCATACAGAATAATAGGCAGTGAATTGACTTTAGGAGCGATGTAATGATTAATCGCTTCAATTACTTGAAATTTTCTCTCTCTCTCTCTCTCTCTCTCTCTCTCTCT